TGAAAATTGACGGACATTAGCCAGTAAATACTTGCACCTGTAATTAAAGAGTCCACTAAAAATGTATCTATCCATGTGGGTCATAAAACTGAATATGTTTAATAAAACTCTTCTAAGAAAAATGAAGATGCTATAAAATGAAAAAGAATTATTGCTAAATCAAGCTTTTCATTTTTCAAAGGACTGACAGGTTTAACCATGTCTTTAAAAATCTGCTGAAAATTTCCTAGTTAAGGTACATTTTCCAAATATTTTTAGAAAAGTATAAGAAAACAAAGTCATTGTCTAAAATTATCAGAATACTTATTAATAATATATCAATTTTATTAAGGCTAAGATGTTTAATATGTAAAACAAATGACAGAATATTTTAATGTTAAATTGAGTCCGTTCAATTCTACTATGTTACTTTCATATTAAAATTTATTAGCAATGTAACTTTGCAAAATCTATTTATTTTTCTATCACAAATTGATCCTGAAATAAAAGCTCATATTTAGCAGGCATTGTCAGTTCAATGGAATGGTAGAAATAAAATTCTATTCTCCCATTGGTTACTGTACTGATCATGGAAATTATGATAACCATAAACTGCAAGATGCTGTCATTTTCTGGAAAAAAATGAAAGGTTAAAATGTTAACAGGGTACTCTTATCAAAGATTTGCTTAGCTAACAAGCCTTGATATAATCTCTGTTACAGGTATTTCCTGTCAGTTAATGAGTGACTTGGGTTCTTCAACTCCCAAAGCTGATGATTAAGCAGCAGGAAATTCCCTCTTTCATCATTACTCCTGAAACACAGTCCAGGACATCTGAATGTCTGGAATGTGAGTGTTTAACGTCATCTTGGAATGGCAAGAAGATCACTATAAAAGTTAAAAAGATTCAACTGTATTAACTCTGTAAGTTCATGATACCCTTTTGACGAAATTGTTTTTGAAAACTTATAGATGACTAAGGTACATGAGTATGTATTTGATGAACTCTGATAATCTTAAGGCTTGGGAGAGGAGTCTCAAGGCAGAGTTTAAGAAATTATGAGAACTGCATGATCTTACATCTAAACAGGTGAAATCTAAATAGGTTGAACTCATAAAAACAAAGGATAGAATGGTGGTTTCCAGGGGCTCAGTGATGGACGGGGCACAGGATTTGAGAATATATGGTCAAAGGATGGAAAATTTCAGTTAGACTGGAGGAATGTGTTCGAGAAATCTATTGTACAACATGACTATTGTTAATAAAAATAATTGTATACTTGAAAATTGTTGAGAGATTTTAAATGTTCTCCCTACAAATAAGTACATTAGATAATAATGAATGTTATTAGCTCATATTAGTCATTCAACGTGTGTGTGCATATATAGATCTCAAAACATGTTGTATACTGTAAACACATATAGTTTTTATCAATTAAAATAATTTAAAAATTTTTTAAAGTAAGTATTCCCAGACATAAACACTAGACAAGGAGACAGAAGAGCCCACCAGCTGCCTCTACCACTTATTTTCTCTAAGCTTCAGTTTCCTGTCCTGTATAAAGGGAGTGGCATAAATCAGCATTCCCATTTAAATGCCTATCAGGGCCAGAAAGCAATCTAAAGATGAAAAAGGGGCTGGAGTGAGAAAAATAAGGAAGTCCTAAGGGCTGAAGTAAACTGTAAGCCCCTTTGAAAGCAGCAGCCACCATTTAGCTCCAGCTGTGTTGGCCATGCAAAAATGCTAACCTAGTGTATTTTGTTTACCAGAAAAATCCAAAACATTTTTTATGTGAAATCTAGTTTTTAATATCAGAAATAATTCATCCATTAAAAGCACTGTGTGGAACAAATGTAAATGAATAGGAACAAATACATGCTACCACCATCAGCCATGTCTTAGGGCTAAACCAGCCTGTGGGTGAATGATTTCTTTTCCCTAGCTGAGGAGATCTAGCAGGTCTTTTCTAGTACTTTCCAAAGTATGTGCTTCAGCAGAGTGGACTCGCATGATTCTTTAGACTAGTTTTAGGGGTTGGCAAATGGTTTCCTAAACGTTTTATACTGTATTGATCACAATCAATTAATACAGCCATTGTAGCAGAGAGGCAGCCATAGACAATGTATAAACTAACGGGCATGTCTGTGTTTCAACGAAATTTATTTACAAGAACAAGTGGGCTTAGTCCCAGTCACTCAGAAAGCTGAGAGTAGAAGAACTGCTTTAGCCCAAGAGTTTGAGGCCAGTCTGAGCAACATAATAAGACCTCATCCAAAAAAAGAAAAAGAAACACAAGTATAAAAAAACATGTGTGCTGGGCACGATGGTTCATGCCCATAATCCACTGCTTTGAGAGGCTGAGGAGGGAGGAACACATGGGGCCAGGAGTTCAAGACCAGCCTTAATAACATAGTGAGACCTCAACTCTACAAGAATTTTTTCTTTTCTTTTTTTTTTTTTTAAGAAATGAGGTTTCACCATGTTAGCCAGGATGGTCTTGATCTCCTGACCTTGTGATCCTCCCGCCTCGGCCTCCCAAAGTGCTGGGATTTTAGGTGTGAGCCACCGTGCCTGGCCTAAGAAATTTTTTAAAAAGTTAGTTGGGCATGGTGGTACACACTTGATGTGCTACCTACTCAGGAGAGCTGAAGTAGGAGTATCAATTGAGCCTAGAAGTTGAAGGTTATAGTGAGCTATGATGGCACTACTGTAGTCCAGCCTGGGGGACAAAGTGAAACCCTGTCTCTAAACAAGTAAACAAAAAAACACATGGCCTGTCACAGGCCCTCCTAATTTGCCAGCCTCTGGTCTAGAGAAATTCTAAGAGAAACTCAGGAATCCCTGTAAAACTATATCATACCTTTTCATAATTAGGTATCCAAGAAGTATTGTGGGAAACGAATATTGTTTGTTTGAAACAAATATGTTAACACAGTCAAAGCTAGTGACTTCTCACAGAATGCACTGAATGCCAGGGAGATGGCTCTTGGACTTTCATACTTCTCCCCGGCAAGAATGAGCTTGCCTACTCTAGTACTAAATCTCATACTCTAATCTGTTTTATGCTGAATGACAGTCTAATTTATACTGGTTAGAAGAGCACAGCTCTAACACCAAACTTTCCAAGGTCCAATCCTGGTTTGACTATTTACTAATTAACACTGGATAAGTTGTTTAATCTCCATATGCCTCAGATTCTTTATTTGCAAAACAAGGTCAATTATAGAACTCCCAACATGGGATCTATGATGTAGGTAATCAATCAATATGTATAAAGTGCTTAAAATGATATTTAGCGCAAAATACGTATTCAATTTAAATATAATTTAAGTATTAGCAATAATTAACATAGCCATATTTGTTTTGGTTGCCGACATCTTCAAAACATCATCTCATTTTAAAAAAAGGCAAATATAGTCTATATTACGACTTTTTAATAATTGCCCATTATATGGTGAAAAGAGACCGCTGAATTAAAGACAGTCATCCACAATGCAAGAAGTACACCATTTCCTCTCCTTATTCTTCACTGTCCCACAGCAAACATATATACTTGACCTTCTCAATTTCTTCTCTGATAAAAGACTTCTCAAGGAGTCCCTGAGAGTTCTTTCTAGCTTATCCTACACTGAGAGAAGATCTTAGGGAACTGCAGAGAGCTCTGCAGTTTCTCTGTGGAACAGGGTTGTGGTTTATCTGCTTTCCAACATCCTACAAGGAAATATCTTTCAAATGACATCACTTTGTAGCCCTTCCATCACCTCTAGGAGTGCCATGGGCCACAAGAAGAGGTGGGTAACAGGAGTTCCCAGGCCAGAAGGGCAGGCATGGGTCTGAGAAACTAGGGGTATGTCTGTGACTAAAATGTATATATTATCACTGCCTTAGATTTAGTCACATGATATTTAAAGCTGATAATGAAACTTCTACTTTTTGTGTTTGAATCGATCCTATAATAAAATAAAGGCTTCCAGAATTAACTTGTGTAAATAGAGATTAGGTGGAGTTCTACTTTAATATAGTTTTTATCACAGAATTATTTCTTCAAATATTCTGAATTTAGCTACTTGCAATAATAGCACATTTACAGTCTCATGAGGAAGAACCAGAGAGAGCACAGTATTTGAAACAAACTATAAATCCTCATTTTTAAGAAATGGAGAAAAATGTTCAAAGAAAAAATGGATAATTCCTGATTATTAAGATTTTCTGCAAAATGGACAGTTTTGATATTTAATACTGGCTGAGTGGATATTGTTCTCTTAGGTGATGGTTGTTTATTTAAGTCATCCAATTGAAATTTAATTCCAGGATAAAGAACGGTTATTACTGTATCACCTTTGTGATTAAAACCAGTAACTAGCCAGGCATGGTACTTCACGTTTGTAATCCCAGCACTTTGGGAGGCTGAGGTGGATGGACCACTTGAGGTCAAGAGTTCCAGATCAGCCTAGCCAACATGGTGAAACCCCTTCTCTACTAAAAAAAATACAAAAATTAGCCAGGCGTGGTGGCATATCCCTGTGGCCCCAGATACTTGGGAGGCTGAGGTATGAGAATTGCTCTAACCTGGGAGGTGGAGTTTGCAGTGAGCCAAGATCGCTCCACTGCACTCCAGCCTGGGCGACACAATGAGACTCTATTTCAAAAAAAACAAAAACAGCAATAACTTACTTATTAATTTCTTTTGTTTCAAGCCTAGTGTTAACATTTCTATTGAGACTCCATATTTATAACTGTGTTATATTAGTGATAAACGGTGTGTGATATTTTATGACATAGGGGAAACTTAAGAATGGTAAAACCAAATGTCTTGATGGAGCATGCATGGCTCATAATCAAATGTGTGCTGTAATAGCTGAGCAGACAATGTTTTAAAAATTAAAAGAGCTTTTGAATGACAACTATATATGTGTGTGTGAATATATATAGACATACATATATGTGTGTGTATAATTCCTTGTTGACAATCATGTTCATAGAACAATACTAAAAGAAAAGGAACATGCTACTAACTCACCACAGCTTAGGTTGCTTTCAGCTTTCAGCGCTAGGTTTGGGATATTCCAGAAGTCATTTTGCCAGTCGACTACATTCCCTTTCACATTACAGCTGAGGTTGGAGAGGATTTTGGAATTCATGGTAAAATTCCAAAGTCGAAAGTTATAAATGTCCCCTTTTAGAGAGGCAATTTCATTTTGATTGGAGCCCAAAAACAGTTTCCCATTCCCAGGAATAACTTTACTAATGGTAGAATCACATTGAACTATTTCATAGTTTCTTTTGAAATTTACACCTACAGAGCCCAAAGAATTATTCCAAACAAGGCAGAGCTGCTCAAAGCTTTCTGCAAAAATGTCTTCTTTTTCCTTGACAGGTAATGCATTGTTCAGCAAGCATTTTGAATCTGAAATGGATAGAAAGTAGCCACTCTTGGCCTTTCCAAAACTGAGCAATTGTGTGAAGGATGCATTTGAGTAGGAGAAAGCTGTCCAATCATTGTCTTCATGGCCAACTTTGGTTGCTTCAAAGCAGAGTGTGAAAGCACTGAGCTCTGGAATGGAGACACTTTTTGCAATAGATACCTGGTAAGCATCTGACATCTGGGGTAAAATGACCTTTTGATTCCTTAAGGACACAGCAACTAGGACAAAACACAACAGAGATAAACCTGTTAACTTCAGAACACAGACAAATGTGATGCAAAACATCAAGGTCTCCACCACTTTCTGCTAGTTAACTTTTTATCTACCATTTGCCCACCCCTCCCTTCTTACTCATCCATCCTTTGTCACCAGCCCATTACCAATTGTCTGATACCAATAATAATAAGAAGAAATTCTACTCATTTCATCTCTAATTATGATTGGATCTCACACCTAAACTTTTGAGTGACAGCCAGCCAAGCTGATAAGTATTTTTTAAACCTGAAACTAAGAAATTAACAATTTTAAAGCCCCAACTACCTAATTGAGGAAATAACTGGTTTCAGGAAGGCTTTGTTTATACATTAAGATTATAAAAATACTATTTTTCAAGGGATTTTTAAACATAAATAATAGTTCTTATTTTCATTAACGATTACTTTTCACTCTTCCCAAACATTTCTCTGCTACCATCTTCGTTTCAGATACTCTATGTCCTCCTATTTTTCCTGCCATCATCAGGCTATTTTAGGAACAAATGCAAAGATAATTCTATTAAGGAGAGGGAGTCTAGTGAAAAGTCCAATAGAATGGAAATGTAAGGTATCCAGGCAAATAACTAGTTTTTGAGTAGTAAAAGGGCAGACCATAGAGCTTCTTACTCCAGCTCTTCTGGGTAGTGGCCATGTGACCCTGGGTATGTTACTTCATCTCTCTCTACCTTTGTCTTATCTGTAAAATGGGCAACAATGGCACCTATTGTATATATGGTCAATGAGAATTAAATAAGTTAATATGCCCAAAGGTTAGAACAGTGCCAGTACCACAGCAATAATGAACAAGTACTATTATTATAATAGATGTGCAATAAATTCAAAATAAAAATGTATTCACCTAAACCTTCTATGTTACATGCAAAATTATTAAATAATACAATAGATTTAGCCCTATGCTAATATAATAGCCATTGCGAAACTAATTTGAGAAAGACGTATTTCTCCTCAAAAATACTTTTTAATACTGGTTTCATATGAGTAACAGTTTGAATATATTTTAATATTCAGTAAATCAAGAATAGTTCTATAATAAAACATCATTTTAATATAATTATTCTAGTAAAAATCTATGATAGAATTTAAAGGAATCATGGATTTTAGTCTACTTTTTAAATATAAAGCAGTTTATAGGTCTACTTAATGCAAAGAGAAACTTAACAATTGAACCAGTACACCACATGCATTGTTAAAATTGAAAGCCTAAAAATAGATATCGCCATCAACATTTTATAGTGGTTATGGCTGGGTGACAGTTGTACAGGTAATTCTAATTTGCTGCTTTTTTTTTCCCAATGTCCTATATTTATTATTTTCAAAACATTATTTTGAAAAATTTAAAACATTATTTTGAAAAATTTAAGCATGTGTGTTTTAACCATGGCAAACACAAATAGCTCCACAATTTAAAAAATACAGTTTATAATAGAGAGGGTCATTTTCATAGTTGTACCTTTCCTTTTGCTTGTTTCTACTTAGAAAGTTCAGAATAAAAAAAACAGAGTAACTAAGTCATAACAGTCATTTTTATAGTTGTACCTTTCTGTTTGTTTTTACTTAGAAAGCTCAGAAGAAGAAAAACCAGTAATAACTAAGTCTTATCATACTGAAGCTTGGGTTTCTTTAGGGAAACACAGGTTCTAGAGAGAAAGATTATTTAAATGTTCTGTTGTACCAGAATATGGAAAACATATTTAATAAAAGTACGCTTATTTCTTTCAGTTAGCTATTTTTAGGAGGTTTTCCTTAAGCTGTGTTATTTATTAGCTTAAGTTGTTAATAGCTGGTTAAAAATTGACGTTCATTTTCTGTATTTGTTCCCTACCATAGTTCCATAAAAGGGCAACATAAAAACCCAAAATAAAATGATTTCTAAATAAGGATGTTTTAAATTTTCAGTGGAGAGATGTTAGAATTACAGATTTTAATTATTAGCAGTGGAATATCTACAGTGTCTTCCAAGCAGCCTTTAAATGTTCTACATATAAACAATAGAAAAGAATTCAACTCTAATATAACAAGATTTTGGATCTGGTAATTACATTTTGCTAACGAGAATGCTCAGAGAATATTAACAGGTTCTTGCCCTTAAATCCCAATCCTAATCATTCACATTCACATAAAAGAGCATAACTCTGTCTTCTGGTCCTTCTGTTTACTGCAGCACATGTTAAATGAAAGCAGAAGTTTGGCGCTGCCTTTGGTTTACATACCTCTGATGTAGCTGGCATTGAAACCTTTCTTCTGGATGCTAAAGTCACTCGAAAAGGACACATGCATCTCATTCACACTTGAGTTAAATGATAGGCCTTTGGCAGTTGCTCCACAAAATTTAGTCTGGCTCTCTCCATTATCAAGGGATAATGAGTCATAAATGCAATTGGGAGCTTCTTCAATGTCAAAGTCGTTAAACGTTATTTGAATGATGTAACCAGTGGGGGCTCGGAGGGTCCACATGCAAGCCTGGCTGTTCGGGTAGTCGTTAGGGTAGCATGGAGAAGTAAAGGTCCCAGAAGGGTTGGACAAAACCACTCGGCAGTTGGCACATCCCCACACTGCTGGACAGACAAAAGAGAGACAGAGAGAAGGGCTGGGTTCAGATGCGTACAATAAACCAAGAATACCACACGCTGGGGAAAATCAAGCAGTAAATACTTAAAAATAACAAACTACAATCATGAAAAATCAATGGAAAATGAAACCATCTTGAGGAGAAACACCAAATACCAATAGAGGAACAAAAAGTAAAAGAGAAATAAAAAATTTTAAAGCAACGATTCTTAAACTTGGGAGGCTATACAGTGGAGAATCTGATGACAGTTTTAGGAACTCTTTCCAGTAAAATGAGCAGGGGCCACACACGTTACAATTTCAAGGAGAGAAATGAAACCTCAGGAGCCAACGATGCAATTCACAAATGTTCACTGATCCAAGTTAAGAATCTCTACTCTAGAAAGTAACTGAACTGGGGTGGAGGGGGTTACAGAACCGTAAAGATAGCACTCAATATTATAAATCATGGGTATAAAGGAAGAGAAACTCTTAGAAAATGAACATTTTAATAGGAAGCTACCAATAGAAAAAATAATAAGCTATCTTCTGGCAGACTACATTTTTGTTTCTAAAATTCAAATAAATAGCATCACCTTGCATACATGGATTACTTACAGTTTTGAGTTTGTCCACTTATCCCATTTGTTTGTCACAGTTGGTAATTACATGCTTGTGGGCTCATCTCATTTACTCATTCATCCAGTGAATATTTGTTGTGAGCCTGCTATGTGCCAAGCACTATTCTAAATCATATATACCAGTAAGCAAGAAAGACAAAGTCTCTGGATAAAGGATTCTTTTTTTTTTTTTTTTTTTTGAGACAGAATCTTGCTCTGTCGCCCATGCTGGAGTGAAGTGGCGTGATACCAGTTCACTGCAACCTCCATCAACCAGGCTCAAGAGATTCTAGTACCTCAGCCTCCCGAGTAGCCGGGATTAGAGGTGTGCACCCTTACGCCTGGCTGGATAAAGGATTCTTATACTTCAGTCTTGGACCTAAAGATGACAACAAGTGTAATGAGAGATAAAGGTGGGGAAGAAAAGTAAAGCAAAGGATAAAAAGAGACTGAAATGAATGCTGGAGATGGTGGTTCTCCAAAGAGGTGACATTTGAGGAGAGCCCTAACTGAATGAAGTGAGGGAGCATGTCATGAGCACACTTGAGAATGGCACTGCAGGCCACGAATGGAAAAATTAAAACCCACTGTAAATGAACATTGATCTTTCCCATGGAACTGTAAGTCCTATGAGATCTAAGATTATGTCTCCTTTGCACATCACTGTATTCTCAGTGTAAGGTAAAATAAATATTAATTGAATGAATTATGTAAAGAAAAAAGCCTTCTGAGGTAGACAGGGGAAATGCTATTATCCCATATTCACTAATGAAAATAGTTAGGTTCTTCTCAATTATTATTTGTCCAGCAGCTGGAACCAGAAACCAAGGTCTACTATCTTCCTGTTCAGAGATGCTTTTGCAACTAATATTAATATTGCTTTTACATTTTTATGTAAATGAAGGCAATAATCTCATTTATCCAAAATACTGGATAAATTGTCATTAAATGGATACATAAACTTTCCAACAATAAACATATTAATTAAAATGACTAAATTTATTATATCCCTCCCTCTTTTAATGAGTTAACGAGAATGCATATGCTATAACATTTCTTGAAAAATGGTAATTACTACAAATATTTCTATTCTTCTATGATATGGTGATATATTCAAGGACTAATGTGATGTTTTATACCGCTCAGTCGAGGTTTTTCTTTTCTTTGTGGCCACCTTGTATTACTCAATGTTTCACTTTGCCAACTCTATCCCCATCCACTCTTTTTAACTTGTCCTCCCTCTGTTCTTTCTCACTAAGTCTCTGATATCGTGTACAAGACTAAAGACAATGGAGAACAAATGATAATCATCAAGTGTCTGCCAAATGCCTTCTCCTATCTATCCCTGGAGTACCATGTTTCACTGTTTTGCAGGACTATTCAGAGCCCTTGTGTTACTTCCATTTGTGAGGTGATTTTCTTATTGTCAATCTTCATCCACTAGCTTTTAAACTCAACAAGCAGAGGGTGTGTGACTGTCATATTTGCCATTCTACTTTCCAGCACCCCACAACATCCCTGGCACATGGGAGACCTTCAGTAAAATTTGCTAAATTTATTAACAAATGAATAGCTTAAATGAATGGAAACATGTCTAAATTAAAGAATGACTCCATGCAGTATAACCAAGTCAAATAAATTCCAAGTCTGAAAAGAACATAGAATATATGTGCTCTGGAACATCTCTTTGGGTGGGGTGTTGGGCTGTTTCTTCCAATTATATCACTCAGCACAGGACTGCGATGACAGGGACTTTCTGATAAGTTCAGCTTCATGTTACTTTGCCTTGGGTTCAGGAGAGAAGTAATCCTAGTAAATTAACAATAATTTATCTACTTATAAGCATTGGAGATTAAAAATATAAAGGAAAATAAGCAATAATCTCAGCATCATCCCAACATGCAGACAGGCAGCATCATTTTTCCAAGATGAGACACCACACTTTATATATCCAAGGCCCAGGTAATGTTCATGACTTTCTTTATCTTACATATTATTTTTGCCAAACTCTTCCCTAAGAACTGAAGAAATGGTATAAGAAAATTTATTATCATTATTATTTTTTAGAGACAGGGTATGGTCTCCGTCACCCAGGCAGAAGTGCAGTGGCCCTCGCTGCAGCCTCAAACTCCTGGGCTCAAGCAATCCTCCCACCTTGGCTTCCAAAAGTACTGAAATTACAGGACTGAACCACCATGCCTGCCGAAGGGTATAAGAAAGTTAAACCTGACTGATAACACTGGCTGTATAATCTTTAACAAGTTAATTTATCTGTGCCTCAGTTTCTCCACCTTTACACTGGTGATAATAACAGCACTCACTTCCCGGAGTTATTGCGAGGATAACACAGATTAATATTGGAAAGTCCTGGAAGTCATACTTGAGACATAGTTAAGTGTTGGCTAGTATTAATAATTACTATAACACAAAATCAGTACATTTAAAATTTAAGAGAGGTAAAATAGCAGCCCACCTTAGTAGAATCTCTTTTCCTTAGGCATTCAGAGGAATAGAAAAAAGATAAAGATGAGACCCATAACATGAATTCAGAAAAACATTTGACATATTCTTCCATATGATTCGTATCTTCCGTGGCTAGACAGCATTTAGAGATAGTACTACTAAATAGTAATTATCTTAAATAGATGAAATGTCAATTAAACTAGACACGATAACATCCTGTTCATTATACTTATACAACAATTCACAATAACAAGCTTTCCCATATATCTCATTTAACATTATAATAACCCTGAGCATTATTACCACCTCTATCTATAGAGCAAACAAATGAGGCTAATCTATATTGGACAACTCGCATGAAGTCACACATCTAATTGATAATAGCACCAAAATTCAAACCAGCCCTTCTGCATGTAAGCATAAGTGTCTTTCAAGGAAGAAAAAAGTTGCCACAACTAAACGAAAAACAGAGCAAAATGGGGAGCTCAAGTACTTCTTTAAAATTTTTAAATGGACAATTTCTTAAAAATAGTTTCATCACTCTAAAAGAAACATATTTTAAGAAACTAATTGGGAAACACCTTAATAAAGAATATTAGGAAGTATGAAATATAGTGCTTTGAATTTTACAATTTGGAGTAATCAAATATCACTGCCAATTGATTCCTACACGATGAGCTAGCCTACTAAGTAATTACTTTGTTCTCTCTTAAGAGTCAGGGCTACTTAATTAGATGGTTACTGAAGTAGCCATTGAATGAGGTATTGGTAAAGTCAGGATTAACATGTATTCTAAAGGCTATCCAACTCAAAGCATCTGACTCAATATGTTCTCAAAGACAGATATGGTAACATATTCTTACATACAATTTATAAAAGCAAAGTTTGCAAGTAATCCAAACAAACAACAAACCAAATTCCACCCTCAGTTCTTGCCTATGCTTACAAATATTTAGCAGTAATTTTCTTTTGTGTATTTTTACAAAAGTTTATTTTTCAATGAAACTCCGATCTATAATGAAAAATCTTCTAGTCACACCAAAGGCTAATTCAATTGATAAATAACATTTTGATACAAATCTAATAACCATTACCTTATGAAGTTTTTTTAAATTTCAGATTTGGATTCTTACTCTACCTTTGCTACAAGTGCTTCTTTATAAAATCCAAATCCCTATTCTTTAAAATCTCTTTAAAACAAGAAGTTTAGATCCCAAGAGATAAATCAAAATGGAGATCAATTTTAGCTTCTTTCATCACAGATTTGTGGATGATATTGAATAATGGCTTTCTCTAGACTGTACTAAATGGTGAACAAAATGAATTCATTTAAGTTAATCTTGATTTTTATCTGAACATACATAAAACTGTAACTGATGAATTTGTAGGAAAACCTGGCCAGTGAAAATTATCTCCAGAACATGTAGTTTAAGTTGCCTGCTTGGTCTGCATTTATTCAGTCATTATTTGAATTATCCATGAGGATATATTAAGTTCTAACACATGAAAAGCTCATTTGTTGCTTAAAAACATTTAAAATATTTAGTAGTCTTGGTGGCTTCTAAAGATTAAACATAAGGGCCAGCAACTAAGAATTCTAGAACCAGTTCTATTACTTAAGTCAGTAAAAAGCCAGGATAGACAGATACCATTTCTCCAGATCTAAGTAAATTTCTGTCAGATGTAACATCATTGAAAGGTAAAATATCAGTAACATTTTAGATGCTGGCATGTATTAAATGATTGATAATATGCAGAAATGGATGACTTCATCAAAGTATTTTAAGTGATTTCAGACCCCTATCCAGATTTTTCAAGATGGCAAGGAATCCAAGGCAATCTGGCTGTGACACCTGTGATTCTGTTAATGTGACAGACTTGGCAAGCATCCCCACCACACTCACCATTCCTCCTCAAGCTCT